GGTAGAGGATATTTGTACTGGTAGAGGATATTTGTACTGGTAGAGGATATTTGTACTGGTAGAGGATATTTGTACTGGTAGAGGATATTTGTAGTAGTAGAGGATATTTGTACTGGTAGAGGATATTTGTACTGGTAGAGGATATTTGTAGTTGTAGAGGATATTTGTACTGGTAGAGAATATTTGTACTGGTAGAGAATGTTTGTAATTGTAGAGGATATTTGTAGTTGTAGAGGATATTTGTAGTGGTAGAGGATATTTGTAGTGGTAGAGGATATTTGTAGTGGTAGAGGATATTTGTACTGGTAGAGGATATTTGTACTGGTAGAGGATATTTGTACTGGTAGAGGATATTTGTAGTTGTAGAGGATATTTGTACTGGTAGATTTAATAGATACAAACAACTTATTAATGTTCATAATGACTGTTAATCCTTGTCCTAGACCAACCACATTAGATAAAGAAATTATTTATTAGATTTAAATATTTCATAATTCCTCATGATGATAATTTAGTTTTTCTTTTGAGAAACAATACATTTTGTTCTAGCAAGAAAGATTTTGTCATCTTTCATGATGACTGTAATTGTTATTCTGGACAAATTAAATCTGGTGAATAAATGCATTCAACCTTTTAAAAAATACCTTAAAACCTTTTGTGAGGTAAGATCAAGGTAGGAGTCCTGTCATGTTCTTATTCTTAATTTTGATTTTAAAGTTTTCTTTTGTAACATCGGTGTTTGAAACACAAAAAAAAGTTGAGGAACACTAGAAGTTGTGGTTGAAAAAAATTTGAAATTACATTTTTATAATATGTGGAGAAAGAATCTTCATAGAAATATGCAAATATCCTCTAGAAGTACAAATATCCTCTACCAGTACAAATATCCTCTACAACTACAAATATTCTCGTTTCTTATCTAATGTGGTTGGTCTAGGACAAGGATTAAACGGTCATCATGAACATTGATAAGTTGTTTGTATCTATTAAATCTTTTCTTATCTAATGTAGTTGGTCTAGGACAAAGATTAAACGGTCATCACAAACATTGATAAGTTGTTTGTATATATTAAACCTTTTCTTATCTAATGTGATTGGTCTAGGACAAGAATTAAAAAGTTATCATGAACATTGATAAGTTGTTTGTATATATTAAATATTTTCTTATCTAATGTGGTTGGTCTAGGACAAGGATTAAACAGTCATCACGAACATTGATAAGTTGTTTATATATATAAAACCTTTTCTTATCTACAGTGATTGGTCTAGGACAAGGATTAAACAGTCATCATGAACATTGATAAGTTGTTTGTATCTATTAAATCTTTTCTTATCTACAAACACTGATAAGTTGTTTGTATCTATTAAATATTTTCTTATCTAATGTGATTGGTCTAGGAAAAGGATTAAACAGTCATCACGAACATTGATAAGTTGTTTGTATATATTAAACCTTTTCTTATCTAATGTGGTTGGTCTAGTACAAGGATTAAACAGTCATCATGAACATTGATAAGTTGTTTGTATCTATTAAACCTTTTCTTATCTAATGTGGTTGGTCTAGTACAAGGATTAAACAGTCATCACGAACATTGATAAGTTGTTTGTATCTATTAAACCTTTTCTTATCTAATGTGGTTGGTCTAGTACAAGGATTAAACAGTCATCATGAACATTGATAAGTTGTTTGTATCTATTAAATCTTTTATTATATAATGTGGTTGGTCTATGACAAAGATTAAACAGTCATCATGAACATTGATAAGCTATTTGTATCTATTAAATCTTTTCTTATCTACAGTGATTGGTCTATGACAAGGATTAAACAGTCATCATGAACATTGATAAGCTATTTGTATCTATTAAATATTTTCTTATCTACAGTGATTGGTCTAGGACAAGGATTAAACTATCATAATGAATAATCATGGGCTCTTTATATCTAGTAAATAATAAGTGTTGGACAAATTATATATGGTAAATAAAAAATTGAACTGTCATCATGGGTTTTTTGTATCTAGTAAATAATGTATTTACCATATATAATTTGTCCAACACAAAGATTGAAATGTCATCATGGGTTTTTTGTATCTAGTAAATAATGTATTTACCATATATAACTTGTCCAACACAAAGATTGAACTGTCCTCATGGGTTCTTTATATCTAGTAAATAATGTATTTACCATATATAATTTGTCCAACACAAAGATTGAACTGTCATCATGGGTTTTTTGTACCTAGTATATAATGTATTTACCATATATAATTTGTCCAACACTAAGATTGTACTGTCATCATGGGTTCTTTGTATCTAGTATATAATGTATTTACCATATATAATTTGTCCAACACAAAGATTGAACTGTCATCATGAAGGATGATGAGATTTTTGTCGTTAGGATCAAAGGATACTTCTCTGATGGGAGAATAACGTGGAAGTCCTAATGACACTCGACCTTTCTGTATTTGTCGTGTCCAGGCTGTGTACTCCTGTTTCTCCAGGCTGTACTCCACCAACTAATAATAATAATAACACGAAAGCATTCAAAATACTTCTGTTTCACTGGAGGTTAAAGCTGCTAAATTATTTTTACACAAACCAAAGTCACCTTACTCAAGTAATAAGTTATTTAGAAACATTAACCTTTATTAAAGACAATAACATTCATAGCCAGTCTGAAAATGCACCCAAATATTCGGGTTATTTCATACATTTAGGCTGTAAATAGGCTTAGATAGCTGACCCATTAATAGGAATTTCTATATATCTTAGATCATATATAAAACCCTATAACCCTAGCACATTGGAAAGGTGGATCTTTCTTCTTCAGGGGCAAGATTCCCAGTTTGCCCCTGAAGAAGAAAGGTCCACCTTTTGAAAGCTCTCGGGTTATAGAGTTTTATCATTTTGTATCAAGACTTCTTGAAACTATGCATTTTTCTGACATCATGAATTAGATGAGATATAAAGGACAGTAGTAGTTCTTACTGAATGTTCCAGCTTGTTTACATTTTAAACAATTATGTAGGTTCACCTGAAATAAGTCTTATCAATATACATGGTTTCCTTATATAAATTAACTGTAAAATTCCACTTACAGTAGATAACATTATTCTGGCTTGTTCATTCTTTGCTACGTAACTCTTGAATGAAGATAAAAATTAATTGAATATCCTCTAACTGCCAGTCAATTTCCTATTAATACTGTTTATCTTCAGGTTAGTTTCTTAGAAACATGTAAATTGTAATAATACAATAAATACAAAAATTTACATATCCACAGAGAAACATTTCTTCAAACACTGGTGTATATTCTCTCACAATACATTAGAACAAATTAAAATACACAACATTAAAGTTTTTCTTTACCCTCTGGTCACTGTAAAGTGCTACGACACTCTTGGTTAGTGAGTTCACTCCTAGAGCAGTGGGTGGACAGACATAGTGAGGGAGGGAGTACAGAAACTAGAAAAAAATATATGTATTGATTACTGTCTCATCACTAGTGTAAAAGTTACAAATAAAATTATTCTGGCTATTCACTATTTCTATACAAAGTTGTTTTTATGATAAAACCAAAAAAATGCTGTAGCTCCTTTTTGACAGTAAAAGAAAACGTAATTACATACTTTCCTGATACACGAAAACTCAAACTATGGATTTCAGAAAGGAATTTAAATAATTATTTTAATAACAAATTTTTATTTAGTGCTGTAATTATTTACACATAATAATAAAGAAGATATTAATTTTTAACCATTATCACTGAATTTGACATGTGTAACTACAATGTTATAAAACATTACCTCATATTCCTTAAGATCATATACATTTATATAACCAGCAATATTTGCTGTCACTAGATGGCGTCCACTTGTGGTAATAGTCATGATGTGTATTAGTGACGAATTATGTTCTGTAAAGGCAACAGTTTATGCATATATTACTAGTTTCCAAAATTAAAACGTCTGAATTTAATTTTAATAACTTTGTTTTTAAAACCATATTATAATATACGTTTATTTTATCATGTTTCTTATTTTTCACACATATAAAAAATGATTGATTTATCACAGAATATTTGATGCAGCCTATGGTTTAATTAACTATGACTCAGTTAATGTTAAAATACACAAATAATTAACATAGCTAAACAGCATAAGTCTGTAGGTTCTGAGATAAAAAAAAAAATGGAGGAAGTATAATTTTCTGTTATTTTTCCAGGTGTAAAGATCAGTTCTTAATTGTCCCCCACTTTTTGTTTGTTTGTTATGGATCTCGCGCAAGGCTACATTAGGGCTATCTGCACTAGCCATCCGTAATTTAGGAGCGTAAGACTAGAGGGAAGGCAGCCAGTCATCACCACCCACCGCCAACTCTTTTACTAACAAATAGTGGGGTTAACCGTCACATAATATTGACCCCACGGCTGAAAGGGGGAACATGTTTGGTGAGACGGGGATTTGAACCCGCAACCCGCAGATTGTGAGTCGAGCACCCTAACCACCTGGCCTTTC